GTGGCAGGCAGATGTAAGGAATGAAAAGGAAAGCTGTTGTGGCAAAAGTGGTAGGGACTACAAGGAAAGGTGGATCAAGTGGTGGGACACTGTGGGAAAATACAATTGTGGCAGGCAGATGTAAGGAATGAAAAAAGGGGAAACATTGTGGCAAAAAGTGTTGGGGGACTACATCAGGAAAGAAAATACAATTGGATAAGGGGGACACTGAGGAAAATACAATTGTGGGACAGGCAGATGTAAGGAATGAAAAAGGAAAAACATTGTGGCAAAAAGTGGTAGGGACTACAAGGAAAAGGTGCTTGGATCAAGTGGTGGGACACTGAGGAAAATACAATTGTGGCAGGCAGATGTAAGGAATGAAAAGGAAAAACATTGTGTCAAAGTGGTTGGGACTACAAGGAAAAGGTGCTTGGATCAAGTGGTGGGACACTGAGAAAATACAATTGTGGTAGGCAGATAAGGAATGAAAAGGGAAACATTGTGGCAAAATGATTGGGACTACAAGGAAAAGGTTCTTGGATCAAGTGGTGGGACACTGAGGAAAATACAATTGTGGCAGATAGACAAGGAGATGAAAAGGAAGAAAAACAAAGGAAAAGGTGGGATCAACACTGAGGAAAATACACTTGTGTCATAAATGATGGGAATGAAAAGGGAAACATTGTGGGCAAAAGTGGTAGGGAAAAGGAAAGGTTCTTGGATCAAGTGGTGGGACACTGAGGAAAAAATACAATTGTGGCAGGCAGATGTAAGGAATGAAAAGGGAAACATTGTGGCAAAAGTGGTTGGGACTACAAAAGGAAAAGGTTACTTGGATCTGTGGTGGGATACTGAGGAAAATACAATTGTTATAAGAATGAAAAGGAAAAGCATTGTGGCAAAGTGGTTGGGACTACAAGGAAAGGTGCTTGGATCAAGTGGTGGGACACTGAGGAAAATACAATTGTGGCAGGCAGATGTAAGAATGAAAAAAGAAAAACATTGTGGCAAAAGTGTTGGGGACTACAAAATGGTTCTTGAAACTGAGGAAAGTACAATTTGTGGTGGGACAATGAAAAAAGGGACACTTGTGGACACTGAGCAGATGCAGAAGAATGAAAAGGAAAACATTGTGGGCAAAAGTGGTTGGGACTACAAGGAAAAGGTGTGTGGATCAAGTGGTGGGACACTGAGGAAAAATACAATTGTGGCAGGCAGATGTAAGGAATGAAAAGGAAAACATTGTGGCAAAAGTGGTAGGGACTACAAGGAAAAGGTGCTTGGATCAAGTGGTGGGACACTGAGGAAAAAATACAATTGTGGCAGGCAGATGTAAGGAATGAAAAGGAAAACATTGTGGCAAAAGTGGTGGGGACTACACAAGGAAAGGTGCTTGGATCAAGTGGTGGGACACTGAGGAAAATACAATTTGTGAGGCAGATGTAAAAAAATGAAAAAGAAAAATTGTGTCAAAAGTGATAGGGACTACAAAATGAAAAGGTTCTTGGATCAAGTGGTGGGACACTGAGGAAAAAATACAATTGTGGCTGATGTAAAGAATGAAAAGGAAAAACTGTGATGTAAGGGACTACAAGGAAAAGGGAATCAAGTGGTGGGACACTGAGGAAAATATTGGCAGGCAGATGTAAGGAATGGGAAAACTTGTGGCAAAGTCGTTGGGACTACAAAAAAGGTTCTTGGATCAAGTGGGACACTGGGACACTGTAAGGAAAAAAGGAAACAAAAAGTTGTACCAAAAAGGAAAAGGCATCAATGATGAGGAAAATAAGGAATGTAAAATGGGAAAAAACATTGTAGCAAAAAGTGGTAGGGACTACAAGGAAAAGGTGCTTGGATCAAGTGGTGGGACACTGAGGAAAAATACAATTGTGGCAGGCAGATGTAAGGAATGTGAAAAAGGAAAAACATTGTGGCAAAATGGTAGGGACTACAAGGAAAAAAGTGCTTGGATCAAGTGGTGGGACACTGAGGAAAATACAATTGTGGCAGGCAGATGTAAGGAATGAAAAAGGAAAACATTGTGGCAAAAGTGGTAGGGACTACAAGGAAAAGGTGCTTGGATCAAGTGGTGGGACACTGAGGAAAATACAATTGTGGCAGGCAGATGTAAGGAATGAAAAGGGAAAACATTGTGGCAAAAGTGGTAGGGACTACAAGGAAAAGGTGCTTGGATCAAGTGGTGGGACACTGAGGAAAATACAATTGTGGCAGGCAGATGTAAGGAATGAAAAGGAAAACATTGTGGCAAAGGGATAATGGTGGGGACAAAAAAGTGGGATCAGGGTGGGACACTGACAAAATAAAATTGTGGCAGGTTTTTTGGATCAAAAGTGGTAGGGACTACTGAGGAAAATACAATTAGGATCAGGGGACACTGAAGATGTGACTGGCAATGTAAAGAATGAAAAAAGGATGAAAAAAGGAAAACATGAGGGGAAACAATTGGTTCTTGGATCAATAACAGGGCAAAAGTGAAAAGGCAAATGTTGGGACTACAAGGAAAAGGTTCTTGGATCAAGTGGTGGGACACTGAGGAAAATACAATTGTGGCAGGCAGATGTAAGGAATGAAAAGGGAAAACATTGATGTACTACAAAAAGGTTCTTGGATCAAACACTGAGGAAAATACAATTGCAGGCAGATGTAAGAATGAAAAAAAGGAAAACATTGGGCAAAAGGTTCTAAAGGAAAAGGTGGTGGTGGGACACTGAGGAAAATACAATTGTGACTGGCAGATGTAAGGAATGAAAAAGGAAAACATTGTGGCAAAAGTACTACAATGGGGACAAGGAAAATGTTGTTCTTGGAATGAAAAAAGGAAAACATTGTAAAAAGTGGTGGGACACAAAGGAAAAGGAAAATGCAACAAGAAAATACAATTGTGGCAGGCAGATGTAAGGAAAATGAAAAGGGAAAAACATTGTGACAAAAAGTGGTAGGGACTACAAGGAAAAGGTGCTTGGATCAAGTGGTGGGACACTGAGGAAAATACAATTTGTGACAGGCAGATGTAAAGGAATTAAAAAGGAAAACATTATATAAAAGTGGTGGGGACTACAAGGAAAATGAAAAGGAAAGACTGGATCAAGTGGTGGGACACTGAGGAAAATACAATTGTGGCAGGCAGATGTAAGGAATGAAAAAGGAAAACATTGTGGCAAAAGTGGTAGGGACTACAAGGAAAAGGTGCTTGGATCAAGTGGTGGGACACTGAGGAAAATGCAATTGTGACAGGCAGATGTAAGGAATGAAAAAGGGAAAAACATTGGCAAAAATGATGGGGACTACAAGGAAAAATGTTCTTGGATCAAGTGGTGGGACACTGAGGAAAATGCAATTGTGGCAGGCAGATGTAAGGAATGAAAAGGAAAAGAATTGTGGCAAAATAATGGGGGACTACAAGGAAAAGGTGGTGGGACACTGAGGAAAATGTCAATTGTGGCAGGGACACTGAGGGGGACTAAAAAAAGGTTCTTGGATCAAGTGGGGACACTGAGGAAAATACAATTGTGGTGACTGGCAGATGTAAAAAGGAATGGTGGGAAAGGAAAGAATTGTGTCAGGCAGATGGGGACTAATTGGAAATGGTTCTTGGATCAAAACATGGTTGGGACACTGAGGAAAATGCACTTGTGGCAGGCAGATGTAAGGAATTAAAATGGGAAGAATTGTGGCAAAAGTGGTGGGGACTACAAGGAAAAGGTGTTTGGATCAAGTGGTGGGACACTGAGGAAAATTGTGGCAGGCAGATGTAAGAAATGAAAGGAAGAAACATGTACAAAAAATGGTTCTTGGATCAGATACAAGGAATGCATGGATCAAGAAAAAAAAACATGTAAGGAATGAAAGAATTCTGTGTCATAAGCAGTAGGGACTACAAGGAAAAGGTTCTTGGATCAAGTGGTGGGACACTGAGGAAAATACAATTGTGGCAGGCAGATGTAAGGAATTAAAAGGAAAACATTGTGGCAAATATGGTGGGGACTACAAGGAAATGGTTCTCAAGTGGATCACTGAGGAAAATACAATTGTGGGCACATGTGAATGAAAAATGCTGATGGGACTACAAGGAAAAGGTGTTTGGATCAAGTGGTGGGACACTGAAAAAAAATTTGGGCAGGCAGATGTAAGGAATGAAAAAGGAAAACATTGTGTCAAAGTGGTAGGGACTACAAGGAAATGGTTCTTGGATCAAGTGGTGGGACACTGAGGAAAATGCTCTTGTGACAGGCAGATGTAAGGAATGAAAAAGGAAAACATTGTGGCAAAAGTGGGGACTACAAGGAAATGGTTCTTGGATCAAGTGGTGGGACACTGAGGAAAATACAAATTGTGGCAGGCAGATGTAAAAGGGAAAAAAACATGAAAAGGAAAAGATTGTGGGACATAAAATGGGGGACTACAAGGAAATGGTTCTTGGATCAAGTGGTGGGACACTGAGGAAAATACAATTGTGGCAGGCAGATGTAAGGAATGAAAAGGGAAAACATTGTGTCAAAAAGTGGGGGACTACAAGGAAAAGGTTCTTGGATCAAGTGGTGGGACACTGAGGAAAATACAATTGTGGCAGGCAGATGTAAGGAATGAAAAGGGAAAACATTGTGTCACAAAAAATACAATTGTGGTGGGGACTACAAGGAAAAGGTTCTTGGATCAAGTGGTGGGACACTGAGGAAAATACAAATTGTGGCAGGCAGATGTAAGGAATGAAAAGGAAAAAGTGGTAGGGACATTGTGTGGATCAAACACTGAGGAAAATGGTGGGGACTACAAGGAAAAGGTTCTTGGATCAAGTGGTGGGACACTGAGGAAAATACACTTGTGGCAGGCAGATGTAAGGAATGAAAAGGGAAGAATTGTGTCAAAAGTGGTAGGGACTACAAGGGACTACAAGGAAAAGGTTCTTGAGATCAAGTGGTGGGACACTGAGGAAAAAGGTGCTTGGATCAAGTGGTGGGACACTTGTGGCAGGCAGATGTAAGGAATGAAAAGGGAAAAGAATTGTGTCAAAAGTGGTAGGGACTACAAGGAAAAGGTTCTTGGATCAAGTGGTGGGACACTGAGGAAAATACAATTGTGGCAGGCAGATGTAAGGAATGAAAAAGGGAAAACATTGTGGCAAAAGTGGGGGGACTACAAGGAAAAGGTGCTTGGATCAAGTGGTGGGACACTGAGGAAAAATACAATTGTGGCAGGCAGATGTAAGGAATGAAAAGGGGAAAACATTGTGGCAAAAGTGGTAGGGACTACAAGGAAAAGGTTCTTGGATCAAGTGGTGGGACACTGAGGAAAATACAATTGTGGCAGGCAGATGTAAGGAAATGAAAAGGGAAAACATTGTGTCAAATATGGTGGGGACTACAAGGAAAAGGTTCTTGGATCAAGTGGTGGGACACTGAGGAAAATACAATTGTGGCAGGCAGATGTAAGGAATGAAAAGGGGAAAAGACATTGTGCAAAAATAATGGGGGACTACAAGGAAAAGGTTCTTGGATCAAGTGGTGGGACACTGAGGAAAATACAATTGTGGCAGGCAGATGTAAGGAATGAAAAGGGAAAAATTGTGGACAAAAGTGGTGGGGACTACAAGGAAAGGTTCTTGGATCAAGTGGTGGGACACTGAGGAAAATACAATTGTGGCAGGCAGATGTAAGGAATGAAAAGGGAAAGAATTGTGTCAAAAAGTGATGGGGACTACAAGGAAAAGGTTCTTGGATCAAGTGGTGGGACACTGAGGAAAAATGCAATTGTGGCAGGCAGATGTAAAGGAATGAAAAGGGGAAACATTGTGTGCAAAAGTGATGGGGACTACAAGGAAAGGTTCTTGGATCAAGTGGTGGGACACTGAGGAAAACGCAAAAAGGGAAAACATTGGACAGGCAGATGTGGAAATTAAAAGGAAAAAGAATTGTGTGAAAATGTGGGGGACTATTGTGGGAAAGTTCTTGGATCAAGCTGGTGGGACACTGAGGAAAATGCTTTGTGGCAGGCAGATGTAAGGAAATGAAAAATGGGAAACATTGTGGCAAAAGTGGTAGGGACTACAAGAAAAGGTACTTGGATCAAGTGGTGGGACACTGAGGAAAATACAATTGTGGCAGGCAGATGTAAGGAAATGAAAAGGGAAAAATTGTGTCAAAAGTTGTAGGGACTACAAGGAAAAGGTGTTGGATCAAGTGGTGGGACACTGAGGAAAATGCAATTGTGGCAGGCAGATGTAAGAAAATGAAAAAGGGAAAACATTGTGGTGGTGGGGACTACAAAGGAAAAAGTGCTTGGATCAAGGGTGGGACACTGAGGAAAAATACAATTGTGGACAGGCAGATGTAAGGAAATGAAAAAAAGGGTAAAAGATTGTTCTTGGAAAGTGGTAGGGACTACAAGGAAAAGGGTTCTTGGATCAAGTGGTGGGACACTGAGGAAAATGCAATTGTGGCAGGCAGATGTAAGGAATGAAAAGGAAAACATTGAATTGCAAAAAGTGATGGGACTACAAGGAAATGGTTCTTGGATCAAGTGGTGGGACACTGAGGAAAATGCACTTGTGGCAGGCAGATGTAAGGAAAAATGAAAAAGGAAAACATTGTGGCAAAAAGATGGGGGACTACAAGGAAAAGGTTCTTGGATCAAGTGGTGGGACACTGAGGAAAATACAATTGTGGCAGGCAGATGTAAGGAATGAAAAGGGAAACATTGTGTCAAAAGTGGTGGGACTACAAGGAAAAGGTTCTTGGATCAAGTGGTGGGACACTGAGGAAAATACAATTGTGGCAGGCAGATGTAAGGAATGAAAAAGGGAAAAAATTGTGGCAAAAGTGGTGGGGACTACAAGGAAAAGGTGCTTGGATCAAGTGGTGGGACACTGAGGAAAAAATACAATTGTGGCAGGCAGATGTAAGGAAATGAAAAGGGAAAACATTGTGACAAAAAGTGGTAGGGACTACAAGGAAAAGGTTCTTGGATCAAGTGGTGGGACACTGAGGAAAATGCAATTGTGGCAGATGTAAGGAATGAAAAGGGAAGCATTGTGGCAAAAGTGGTGGGGACTACAAGGAAAAGGTTCTTGGATCAAGTGGTGGGACACTGAGGAAAATACAATTGTGGCAGGCAGATGTAAGGAATGAAAAGGAAAACATTGTGTCAAAAGTGGTGGGGACTACAAGGAAAAGGTTCTTGGATCAAGTGGTGGGACACTGAGGAAAATACAATTGTGGCAGGCAGATGTAGAATGAAAAAAGGAAAACATTGTGGCAAAAGTGGTAGGACTACAAGGAAAAAGGTGCTTGGATCAAGTGGTGGACACAGGAAAATACAATTGTGGCAGGCAGATGTAAGGAATGAAAAAAGGAAAACATTGTGGCAAAAGTGGTTGGACTACAAGGAAAAGTGCTTGGATCAAGTGGGGGACACTGAGGAAAATACAATTGTGGCAGGCAGATGTAAAGGAATGAAAAGGGAAAACATTGTGTCAAAAGTGGTGGGGACTACAAGGAAAAGGTTCTTGGATCAAGTGGTGGGACACTGAGGAAAATACAATTGTGGCAGGCAGATGTAAGGAATGAAAAAAGGAAAACATTGTGGCAAAAGTGGTAGGGACTACAAGGAAAAGGTGCTTGGATCAAGTGGTGGGACACTGAGGAAAATACAATTGTGGCAGGCAGATGTAAGGAATGAAAAGGGAAACATTTGTGGCAAAATATGATAGGGACTACAAGGAAAAGGTTCTTGGATCAAGTGGTGGGACACTGAGGAAAATACAATTGTGCAGATGTAAGGAATGAAAAGGGAAAACATTGTGGCAAAAGGTGGTAACTACAAGGAAAAGGTTCTTGGATCATCAAGGGTGGGACACTGAGGAAAATACAAGGAAAAAAGAAATGGGAAAACACAAAAGTAGGGACCACAAGAAAAGGAGCTTGGATCAAGTGGTGGGACACTGAGGAAAAAATACAATTGTGGCAGGCAGATGTAAGGAATGAAAAGGGAAAACATTGTGGCAAAAGTGATGGGGACTACAAGGAAAAGGTTCTTGGATCAAGTGGTGGGACACTGAGGAAAGGAAAAAACACTTGTGGGGACAGGCAGATGTAAGGAATGAAAAAGGGAAAAAATTGTGACAAAAGTGGCAAAAGTGGGGACTACAAGGAAAAGGTGCTTGGATCAAGTGGTGGGACACTGAGGAAAATACAATTGTGGCAGGCAGATGTAAGGAATGAAAAGGGAAAAAAACATTGTGGCAAAAGTGGTGGGGACTACAAGGAAAAGGTGCTTGGATCAAGTGGTGGGACACTGAGGAAAAATACAATTGTGGCAGGCAGATGTAAGGAAATGAAAAAGGAAAACATTGTGGCAAAAGTGGTAGGGACTACAAGGAAAAAGGTTGACTTGGATCAAGTGGTGGGACACTGAGGAAAATGCACTTGTGGCAAATACAATTGGCAAAATGTGGCTAGGCAGATGTAAAAGGGAAAGAAAAGGAAAATATGATGGGGAAGGAAAACATTGTAAGGAAATGGTAGGGACTACAAGGAAAAAGGTTGGATCAAGTGGTGGGACACTGAAAATACAAATTGTTGGCAGGCAGATGTAAAATGAAAAGGAAAACATTGTGGCAAAAGCAGTAGGGACTAAAGGAAAAAGGTGCTTGGATCAAGTGGGGGACACTGAGGAAAATACAATTGTGGCAGGCAGATGTAAGGAATGAAAAAGGAAAACATTGTGGCAAAAGTCGTTGGGACTACAAGGAAAAGGTGCTTGGATCAAGTGGTGGGACACTGAGGAAAATACAATTGTGGCAGGCAGATGTAAGGAATGAAAAAGGAAAACATTGTGGCAAAAGTCGTTGGGACTACAAGGAAAAGGTACTTGGATCAAGTGGTGGGACACTGAGGAAAATACAATTGACAGGCAGATGTAAGGAATGAAAAAGGAAAACATTGTGGCAAAAGTGGTAGGGACTACAAGGAAAAGGTGCTTGGATCAAGTGGTGGGACACTGAGGAAAATACAATTGTGGCAGGCAGATGTAAGGAATGAAAAAGGAAAACATTGTGGCAAAAGTGGTAGGGACTACAAGGAAAAGGTGCTTGGATCAAGTGGTGGGACACTGAGGAAAGTACACTTGTGGCAGGCAGATGTAAGGAATGAAAAAGGAAAACATTGTGGCAAAAGTGGTTGGGACTACAAGGAAAAGGTGCTTGGATCAAGTGGTGGGACACTGAGGAAAATACAATTGTGGCAGGCAGATGTAAGGAATGAAAAGGGAAAACATTGTGGCAAAAGTGGTGGGGACTACAAGGAAAAGGTTCTGGATCAAGTGGTGGGACACTGAGGAAAAATACAATTGTGGCAGGCAGATGTAAGGAATGAAAAGGGAAAACATTGTGGCAAAAGTGGTGGGGACTACAAGAAAAGGTTCTTGGATCAAGTGGTGGGACACTGAGGAAAAGAAAGGTGGTGGACTGCACTGAGGAAAATTGTGGCAGGCAGATGTAAGGAATGAAAAGGGAAACATTGTGTCAAAAATGGTGGGGACTACAAGGAAAAGGTGGAAAAGGGTTTTGAGAAAATACAAGTGGTGGGACAATGAAAAAAGGAAACATTGTGGCAAAAGCAGTAGGGACAGGCAGATCAAGTGGTGGGACACTGAGAAAATACAATTGAAAAGGAAAAAGGAAAACATTGTGTCAAAAGTGGTGGGGACTACAAGGAAAAGGTGCTTGGATCAAGTGGTGGGACACTGAGGAAAGTACAATTGTGGCAGGCAGATGTAAGGAATGAAAAGGGAAAACATTGTGGCAAAAGTGGTGGGGACTACAAGGAAAAGGTGCTTGGATCAAGTGGTGGGACACTGAGGAAAGTACACTTGTGGCAGGCAGATGTAAGGAATGAAAAGGAAAACATTGTGTCTACAAGGAAAAGGTGCTTGGATCAAGTGATGGGGACTAGGCAGATGGAAATGAAAAAGTTGTGGCTTGGGACTCAAGGAAAAGGTGGGATCAAGGACACTGAGGAAAATACAATTGTGGCAGGCAGATGTAAGGAATGAAAAGGGAAAACATTGTGGCAAAAGTGGTAGGGACTACAAAGAAAAGGTGCTTGGATCAAGTGGTGGGACACTGAGGAAAATACACAATTGTGGCAGGCAGATGAAAAAGGAAAACATTGTGAAAAGTGAAAAAGGAAAGAATTGGACACTGAGGAAAATACAATTGTGGCAGGCAGATGTACAAAAGCAAAAAGTGGGGGACTACAAGGAAAAGGTACTTGGATCAAGTGGTGGGACACTGAGGAAAATACAATTGTGGCAGGCAGATGTAAGGAATGAAAAGGGAAAACATTGTGGCAAAAGTGGTAGGGACTACAAGGAAAAGGTGCTTGGATCAAGTGGTGGGACACTGAGGAAAATAATGAAAAGGAAAAAATTGTGGCAGGCAGATGTAAGGAAAATGAAAACACTGAGGAAAATACATTGTGGCAGGCAAATGTGGTGAAAAGGGACTGTGGCAAAGTGGGAAAAGGTGCTTGGATCAAGTGGTGGGACACTGAGGAAAATACAATTGTGGCAGGCAGATGTAAGGAATGAAAAGGGAAAACATTGTGGCAAAAGTGGTAGGGACTACAAGGAAAAGGTGCTTGGATCAAGTGGTGGGACACTGAGGAAAATACAATTGTGGCAGGCAGATGTAAGGAATGAAAAGGGAAAACATTGTGGCAAAAGTGGTTGGGACTACAAGGAAAAGGTGCTTGGATCAAGTGGTGGGACACTGAGGAAAATACACAAGGAAGATGTAAGGAATGAAAAAAGGAAAACATTGTGGCAAAAGTTACAAGGAAAAGGATCAAGTGGTGGGACACTGAGGAAAATACAATTGTGGCAGGCAGATGTAAAACATTGGAATGAAAATGGAAAATCATTGTGGCAAAAGTGGTGGGACTAAAAGGAAAAAAGGTGGTAGGGACTACAAGGAAAAGGTGCTTGGATCAAGTGGTGGGACACTGAGGAAAATACAATTGTGGCAGGCAGATGTAAGGAATGAAAAAAGGAAAAACATTGTGGCAAAAGTGGTGGGGACTACAAGGAAAAGGTTCTTGGATCAAGTGGTGGGACACTGAGGAAAAAATACACTTGCAGGCAGATGTAAGGAATGAAAAGGATGTAAAAAGTGGAACTACAAGGAAAAGGTGCTTGGAAAAGGACACTGAGGAAAAAATACAATTGTGGCAGGCAGATGTAAGGAATGAAAAGGAACATTGTGGCAAAAGTGGTAAAAGGAAAAGGGATCAAGTGGTGGGACACTGAGGAAAATACAATTGTGGCAGGCAGATGTAAGGAATGAAAAAAGAAAACATTGTGGCAAAAAGTGGTGGGGACTACAAGGAAAAGGTGGAAAATCAAGTGGTGGGACACTGAGGAAAATGCAATTGTGGCAGGCAGATGTAAGGAATTAAAAGGAAAACATTGTGGCAAAAGTGGTAGGGACTACAAGGAAAAGGTGCTTGGATCAAGTGGTGGGACACTGAGGAAAATACAATTGTGGCAGGCAGATGTAAGGAATGAAAAAGGAAAACATTGTGGCAAAAGTGGTAGGGACTACAAGGAAAAGGTGCTTGGATCAAGTGGTGGGACACTGAGGAAAATACAATTGTGGCAGGCAGATGTAAGGAATGAAAAGGGAAAACATTGTGGCAAAAGTGGTGGGGACTACAAGGAAAAGGTACTTGGATCAAGTGGTGGGACACTGAGGAAAATACAATTGTGGCAGGCAGATGTAAGGAATGAAAAGGGAAAACATTGTGGCAAAAGTGGTGGGGACTACAAGGAAAAGGTGCTTGGATCAAGTGGTGGGACACTGAGGAAAGTACACTTGTGGCAGGCAGATGTAAGGAATGAAAAAGGAAAACATTGTGGCAAAAAGTGATAGGGACTACAAGGAAAAAGGTACTTGGATCAAGTGGTGGGACACTGAGGAAAATACAATTGTGACAGGCAGATGTAAAAGGGAATTAAAAGGGAAAACATTGTGGGACAAAAGTGATGGGGACTACAAGGAAAAAAGGTTCTTGGATCAAGTGGTGGGACACTGAGGAAAATACAATTGTGGCAGGCAGATGTAAGGAATGAAAAGGGAAAACATTGTGGCAAAAGTGGTAGGGACTACAAGGAAAAGGTGCTTGGATCAAGTGGTGGGACACTGAGGAAAATACAATTGTGGCAGGCAGATGTAAGGAATGAAAAAGGAAAACATTGTGGCAAAAGTGGTAGGGACTACAAGGAAAAGGTGCTTGGATCAAGTGGTGGGACACTGAGGAAAATACAATTGTGGCAGGCAGATGTAAGGAATGAAAAGGAAAACATTGTGGCAAAAGTGGTGGGGACTACAAGGAAAAAGGTTCTTGGATCAAGTGGTGGGACACTGAGGAAAAATGCACTTAAGGAATGAAAAAGCAGGCAGATGTAAGGAAAAGGTGAAAACACTGGGGAAGCAGATTGTGAAAAGCATAAGTGGTAGGGACTACAAGGAAAATGGGTTCTTGGATCTGAGGTGGTGGGACACTGAGGAAAATGGAAAACATTGTGGCAGGCAGATGTAAAAATACAATTGTGGCAGGCAATGTATGAAAAGGAAAAGGAAACTACAAAGGAAAATTGTGTCATAAAAAGAATGAGGGACTACAAAAGGAAAAAAGGTTCTTGGATCAAGTGGTGGGACACTGAGGAAAAATGCAATTGTGGCAGGCAGATGTAAGGAATTAAAAATGGAAAAAAGGGAATTGTGGCAAAAGTGATAGGGACTACAAGGAAAAGGTGCTTGGATCAAGTGGTGGGACACTGAGGAAAATACAATTGTGGCAGGCAGATGTAAGGAATGAAAAAGGAAAAAACATTGTGACAAAAGTGGTAGGGACTACAAGGAAAAGGTTCTTGGATCAAGTGGTGGGACACTGAGGAAAATGCAATTGTGGCAGGCAGATGTAAGGAATGAAAAAGGAAAACATTGTGGCAAAAGTGATGGGGACTACAAGGAAAAGGTGCTTGGATCAAGTGGTGGGACACTGAGGAAAAATGCAATTGTGGCAGGCAGATGTAAGGAATTAAAAAGGAAAACATTGTGGCAAAAGTGATGGGGACTACAAGGAAAAGGTTCTTGGATCAAGTGGTGGGACACTGAGGAAAAAATACAATTGTGGCAGGCAGATGTAAGAATGAAAAATTAAAAGGGAAAAAATTGTGTCACTACAAGGAAAAGGTGATGGGGGGACACTACAAGGAAATGGTTGAAAAGTGAAAACTTGGATCAAGTGGTGGGACACTGAGGAAAATGCTTGGATCAAGTGGTGGGACACTGGGAAAATAGATGTAAGGAATTAAAATGGGAAAACATTGTGGCAAAAGTGGTAGGGACTACAAGGAAAAGGTGCTTGGATCAAGTGGTGGGACACTGAGGAAAATACAATTGTGGCAGGCAGATGTAAGGAATGAAAAAGGAAAACATTGTGGCAAAAGTGGTTGGGACTACAAGGAAAATGTTCTTGGATCAAGTGGTGGGACACTGAGGAAAATACAATTGTGGCAGGCAGATGTAAGGAATGAAAAGGGGAAGAATTGTGGCAAAAGTGGTAGGGACTACAAGGAAAAGGTGCTTGGATCAAGTGGTGGGACACTGAGGAAAATACAATTGTGGCAGATGTAAAATGAAAAGGAAAACATTGTGGCAAAAGTGGGGACTACAAGGAAAAGGTGCTTGGATCAAGTGGTGGGACACTGAGGAAAAATACATATGTGGCAGGCAGATGTAAGGAAATGAAAAAAGGAAAACATTGTGGCAAAGTGGTAGGGACTACAAGGAAAAGGTGGTCAAGTGGTGGGACACTGAGGAAAATGCAATTGTGGCAGGCAGATGTAAGGAATGAAAAATGGGAAAACATTGTGACAAAAGTGGTAGGGACTACAAGGAAAAGGTTCTTGGATCAAGTGGTGGGACACTGAGGAAAATACAATTGTGGCAGGCAGATGTAAGGAATTAAAAAAGAAAAACATTGTGACAAAAGTGGTAGGGACTACAAAGGAAAAAGGTGCTTGGATCAAGTGGTGGGACACTGAGGAAAAACACAATTGTGGCAGGCAGATGTAAGGAATGAAAAAGGAAAAACATTGTGGCAAAAGTGGGGGGACTACAAGGAAAAGGTTCTTGGATCAAGTGGTGGGACACTGAGGAAAATGCAATTGTGGCAGGCAGATGTAAGGAATTAAAAGGGAAAACATTGTGACAAAAGTGGTAGGGACTACAAGAAAAGGTTCTTGGATCAAGTGGTGGGACACTGAGGAAAATGCAATTGTGGCAGGCAGATGTAAGGAATGAAAATGGGAAAGAAAAAGGAAACATTGTGTCAAAAGTGATGGGGACTACAAGGAAAAGGTTCTTGGATCAAGTGGTGGGACACTGAGGAAAATGCTCTTGTGGCAGGCAGATGTAAGGAATGAAAATGGGAAGCAAAAAGGAAAAGGTTCTCAAGTGGTGGGACATAAGCAAAATACAATTGTGGGACAGATGTAAGGAATGAAAAAGGGAAAAGGTGGCTTGGATCTACAAGGAAAAGGTGGGACACTGAGGAAAAATACACTTGTGACAGGCAGATGTAAGGAATGAAAAGGGAAAACAATTGTGTCAAAAGTGATGGGGACTACAAGGAAATGGTTCTTGGATCAAGTGGTGGGACACTGAGGAAAATGCACTTTGTGGCAGGCAGATGTAAGGAATGAAAAAGGGAAAACATTGTGACATAAAGGAAAAGTGCTTGGATCAGGGACACTGAGGAAAATACAGATGGGAAAAAGGTGGCAAAAGTTGGATCAAGTGGTGGGGGACACTGAGGAAAATGCAATTGTGGCAGGCAGATGTAAGAATTAAAAGGGAAAAGAATTGTGTCAAAATGATGGGGACTACAAGGAAAAGGTTCTTGGATCAAGTGGTGGGACACTGAGGAAAATGCAATTGTGGCAGGCAGATGTAAGGAATTAAAAGGGAAAGAATTGTGACAAAATATGATGGGACTACAAGGAAATGGTTCTTGGATCAAGTGGTGGGACACTGAGGAAAAATACAATTGTGGCAGGCAGATGTAAGGAATGAAAAGGGAAAACATTGTGTCAAAAGTGGTAGGGACTACAAGGAAAAGGTTGCTTGGATCAAGTGGTGGGACACTGAGGAAAATGCAATTGTGGCAGGCAGATGTAAGGAATGAAAAAGGAAAGCATTGTGTCAAAAGTGGTAGGGACTACAAGGAAAAGGTTCTTGGATCAAGTGGTGGGACACTGAGGAAAATACAATTGTGGCAGGCAGATGTAAGGAATTAAAATGGGAAAACATTGTGATAAAAGTGGTGGGGACTACAAGGAAAAGGTACTTGGATCAAGTGGTGGGACACTGAGGAAAAAAAGAAATGCAATTGTGGCAGGCAGATGTAAGGAATGAAAAGGGAAAGAATTGTATCCAAAAGGTGTTGGGGACTACAAGGAAATGAAAAAAGGTTCTTGGATCAAGTGGTGGGACACTGAGGAAAATACAATTGTGGCAGGCAGATGTAAGGAATGAAAAGGGGAAAACATTGTGGCAAAAGTGTAGGGAAAAGGAAAAGGTTCTTGGATCAAGTGGTGGGACACTGAGGAAAATATGCACTTGTGACAGGCAGATGTAAGGAATGAAAAGGGACATTGTGACAAAAGTGAACTACAAGGAAAAGGTCTTGGATCAAGTGGTGGGACACTGAGGAAAATACACACTTGTGGCAGGCAGATGTAAGGAATTAAAAAGGAAAAGAATTGTGGCAAAAGTGGTGGGGACTACAAGGAAAAAAAGGTTCTTGGATCAAGTGGTGGGACACTGAGGAAAATGCAATTGTGGCAGGCAGATGTAAGGAATGAAAATGGAAAACATTGTGGGGCAAGTGGTAGGGACCACAAGAAAAGGGTGCTTGGATCAAGTGGTGGGACACTGAGGAAAAATGCACTTGTGGCAGGCAGATGTAAGGAATGAAAAAGGAAAACATTGTGACAAAAGTGATGGGGACTACAAGGAAAAGGTTCTTGGATCAAGTGGTGGGACACTGAGGAAAATACAATTGTGGCAGGCAGATGTAAGGAATGAAAAGGGAAAGCATTGTGACAAAAGTGGTGGGGACTACAAGGAAAAGGTGCTTGGATCAAGTGGTGGGACACTGAGGAAAGTACACTTGTGGCAGGCAGATGTAAGGAATGAAAAGGGAAAGCATTGTGACAAAAGTGTTGGGGACTACAAGGAAAAGGTACTTGGATCAAGTGGTGGGACACTGAGGAAAGTACACTTGTGGCAGGCAGATGTAAGGAATGAAAAGGGGAAGCATTGTGACAAAAGTGTTAGGGACTACAAGAAAAGGTGCTTGGATCAAGTGGTGGGACACTGAGGAAAATACAATTGTGGCAGGCAGATGTAAGGAATTAAAAGGGAAAGATTGTGTCATATATGATGGGGACTACAAGGAAATGGTTCTTGGATCAAGTGGTGGGACACTGAGGAAAATGCTTGTGGCAGGCAGATGTAAAGAATTGGTGGACAGGCAGATGGTGGGACACTGAGGAAAATACAAATGAAAAGGGAATGAAAAAATTGTGTCAAATGATGGGGACTACAAGGAAAAATGTTCTTGGATCAAGTGGTGGGACACTGAGGAAAATACAATTGTGGCAGGCAGATGTAAGGAATTAAAATGGGAAGCATTGTGACAAAAGTGGTAGGGACCACAAGAAAAGGAGCTTGGATCAAGTGGTGGGACACTGAGGAAAAGTGCACTTGTGGACAGGCAGATGTAAGGAATGAAAAGAAAAGTGGTTGTGTCAAAAGTGGTGGGACTACAAGGAAAAGGTTCTTGGATCAAGTGGTGGGACACTGAGGAAAATGCAATTGTGGCAGGCAGATGTAAGGAATGAAAAGGGAAAGAATTGTGGGACACAAATATGAGGGATCACACACACTGAAAAGGTTCTTGGATCAAAAAGGTGGGACACTGAGGAAAGTGCAATTGTGGCAGGCAGATGTAAGGAATGAAAAAAGGGAAAAGGGTAAAATTGGGGACTACAAGGAAAAGGTTCTTGGATCAAGTGGTGGGACACTGAGGAAAATGCACTTGTGGCAGGGAGATGTAAGGAATGAAAAAGGGAAAAGATTGTGGCAAAAGTGTTGGGGACTACAAGGAAAAGGTTCTTGGATCAAGTGGTGGGACACTGAGGAAAAATGCACTTGTGGCAGGCAGATGTAAGGAATGAAAAGGGGAAAACATTGTGTCAAAAGTGTAGGGACTACAAGGAAAAGGTTCTTGGATCAAGTGGTGGGACACTGAGGAAAATACAATTGTGGCAGATGTAGATGTAAAAAGGAAATTAAAAGTAGGGACTACAAGGAAAGGTGCTTGGATCAAGTGGTGGGACACTGAGGAAAATGTTGGGGACTACAAGGAAAAAAAGGTTCTTTGGACAAAAGTGGTGGGACACTGAGGAAAAGGTGCTTGGATCAAGTGGTGGGACAGAGGAAAATGATGTGGCAGGAATGTAAAATAAAAAGGGAAGCATTGTGTCAAAAGTGGTGGGGACTACAAGGAAAAGGTACTTGGATCAAGTGGTGGGACACTGAGGAAAGTACACTTGTGGCAGGCAGATGTAAGGAATGAAAAGGGGAAGCATTGTGACAAAAGTGTTGGGGACTACAAGGAAAAGGTACTTGGATCAAGTGGTGGGACACTGAGGAAAGTACACTTGTGGCAGGCAGATGTAAGGAATGAAAAGGGAAAGCATTGTGTCAAAAGTGGTGGGGACTACAAGGAAAAGGGGTCGCTGGATCAAGTGGTGGGACACTGAGGAAAATGCAATTGTGGCAGGCAGATGTAAGGAATTAAAAGGGAAAGAATTGTGTCAAAATGTGAATAGGGACTACAAGGAAAAGGTTCTTGGATCAAGTGGTGGGACACTGAGGAAAATGCAATTGTGACAGGCAGATGTAAGGAATGAAAAGGGAAAACATTGTGTCAAAAGTGATGGGGACTACAAGGAAAAGGTTCTTGGATCAAGTGGTGGGACACTGAGGAAAAATACAATTGTGGCAGGCAGATGTAAGGAATGAAAAGGGGAAAAATTGTGGACAAAAGTGTTAGGGACTACAAGAAAAGGTGCTTGGATCAAGTGGTGGGACACTGAGGAAAGTGCACTTGTGGCAGGGTAGGGACAGGCAGACACTGAGGAAAATACAAATTAAAAGGACTAAAGAAAATTGTTGGATCAAAAGTGGTGGGGACACTGAGGAAAAGGTGGCAGGCAGATGTAAGGAATGAAAAGGGAAAACATTGGGACACTGAGGAAAGAAAAAGGTGTTGGATCAAGTGGTGGGACACTGAGGAGATGTAGATGTAAGGAAAAAAGGGAAAACATTGTGACAAAAGTGGTAGGGACTACAAGGAAAAAGGTGCTTGGATCAAGTGGTGGGACACTGAGGAAAATGCACTTGTGGCAGGCAGATGTAAGGAATGAAAAGGGGAAACATTGTGTCAAAAGTGATGGGACTACAAGGAAAAAGGTTCTTGGATCAAGTGGTGGGACACTGAGGAAAATGCAATTGTGGCAGGCAGATGTAAGGAATTAAAAAACAATTGGAAGCATTGTGACAAAAGTGGTAGGGACTACAAGAAAAAGGAGCTTGGATCAAGTGGTGGGACACTGAGGAAAATACAATTGTGGCAGGCAGATGTAAGGAATGAAAAGGGAAAGAATTGTGGCAAAAGTGGTGGGACTACAAGGAAAAGGTTCTGATCAAGTGGTGGGACACTGAGGAAAATACAAGATTGTGGCAGGCAGATGTAAGGAATGAAAAGGGAAAAAATTGTGGAATGAAAAGTGATAGGGACTACAAGGAAAAGGTTCTTGGATCAAGTGGTGGGACACTGAGGAAAAATACAATTGTGGCAGGCAGATGTAAGGAATGAAAAGGAAAGAATTGTGACAAAAGTGATGGGGACTACAAGGAAAAAAGGTGTTGGATCAAGTGGTGGGACACTGAGGAAAATACACTTGTGGCAGGCAGATGTAAGGAAATGAAAAGGAAAACATTGTGGCAAAAGTCGTTGGGACTACAAGGAAAAGGTACTTGGATCAAGTGGTGGGACACTGAGGAAAATACAATTGTGGCAGGCAGATGTAAGGAATGAAAAAGGAAAACATTGTGGCAAAAGTGGTAGGGACTACAAGGAAAAGGTGCGTGGATCAAGTGGTGGGGACACTGAGGAAAATACAATTGTGGCAGGCAGATGTAAGGAATGAAAAGGGAAACATTGTGTCAAAAGTGGTGGGGACTACAAGGAAAAGGTTCTTGGATCAAGTGGTGGGACACTGAGGAAAATGCAATTGTGGCAGGCAGATGTAAGGAATGAAAAAGGGAAGCACTTGTGACAAAAGTGGTAGGGACTACAAGGAAAAGGTTCTTGGATCAAGTGGTGGGACACTGAGGAAAATGCACTTGTGGCAGGCAGATGTAAGGAATGAAAAGGGGAAAATTGTGTCATAAATGGTGGGGACTACAAGGAAAAGGTTCTTGGATCAAGTGGTGGGACACTGAGGAAAAATACAATTGTGGCAGGCAGATGTAAGGAATTAAAAGGGAAAAATTGTGGCAAAAGTGGTGGGACTACAAGGAAAAGGTTCTTGGATCAAGTGGTGGGACACTGAGGAAAGTGCACTTGTGGCAGGCAGATGTAAGGAATTAAAAGGGAAAGAATTGTGTCAAAAGTGGTGGGACTACAAGGAAAAGGTTCTTGGATCAAGTGGTGGGACACTGAGGAAAATACACTTGTGGCAGGCAGATGTAAGGAATGAAAAGGGGGAAGAATTGTGTCAAAAGTGATGGGGACTACAAGGAAAAGGTTCTTGGATCAAGTGGTGGGACACTGAGGAAAATGCACTTGTGGCAGGCAGATGTAAGGAATTAAAAGGGAAAGAATTGTGTCAAAAGTGATGGGGACTACAAGGAAATGGTTCTTGGATCAAGTGGTGGGACACTGAGGAAAATGCAAATGTGGCAGGCAGATGTAAGGAATTAAAAGGGGAAAACATTGTGACAAAAGTGATGGGGACTACAAGAAAAAGGTTCTTGGATCAAGTGGTGGGACACTGAGGAAATGCACTTGTGACAGGCAGATGTAAGGAATGAAAAATGGGAAAACAAATTGAATGGGGGACAAAAAGTGGTGGGATCAAGTGGTGGGAACTGAAAAAATACAATTGTGGCAAATGGTGGAAAAAAGAATTGTGAATATATGATGGGGACTAAAGGAAATGGTTCTTGGATCAAGTGGTGGGACACTGAGGAAAATATACTTGTGATGCAGATGGAATTAAAAGGAAAGAATTGTGTCATAAGTATTCTTGGAACAAATCAAGTGGTGGGACACTGAGGAAAATACACTTGTGACAGGCAGATGTAAGGAATTAAAAGGGAAAGCATTGTGACATAAGCAGTGGGGACTACAAGGAAAAGGTTCTTGGATCAAGTGGTGGGACACTGAGGAAAATGCAAATGTGACAGGCAGATGTAAGGAATTAAAAGGGGAAGAATTGTGTCATAAATGGTGGGGACTACAAGGAAATGGTTCTTGGATCAAGTGGTGGGACACTGAGGAAAATGCAGATGTAAATGGCAGGCAGATGTAAGGAATTAAAAGGAAAGAATTGTGACATATGATGGGGACTACAAGTGGAAATGGTTCTTGGATCAAGTGGTGGGACACTGAGGAAAATGCACTTGTGACAGGCAGATGTAAGGAATTAAAAGGGAAAAGAATTGTGTCATAAGTGATGGGGACTACAAGGAAATGGTTCTTGGATCAAGTGGTGGGACACTGAGGAAAATGCAATTGTGGCAGGCAGATGTAAGGAATTAAAAGGGAAAGCTGTGACATAAGTGGTGACCACAAGGAAAAGGTTCTTGGATCAAGTGGTGGGACACTGAGGAAAATGCAATTGTGGCAGGCAGATGTAAGAATAAAAAAGGAAGCACATTGTGGGATATATGATGGGGACTACAAGGAAAAGGTTCTTGGATCAAGTGGTGGGACACTGAGGAAAGTGATGGGGCAGATGTAAGAAATTAAAAAAAAGAATTGGATCAAGTGGTGGGGACTACAAGGAAAAAAAAAGGTTCTTGATCAAGATGTGGGGACACACTGAGGAAAATGCTCTTGTGGCAGGCAGATGGGAAATGAAAAGGGGAAGAATTGTGTCATATGATGGGGACTACAAGGAAAAGGTTCTTGGATCAAGTGGTGGGACACTGAGGAAAATGCACTTGTGGCAGGCAGATGTAAGGAATTAAAAGGAAAGCACTGTGACAAAAGTGATGGGGACTACAAGGAAAAGGTTCTTGGATCAAGTGGTGGGACACTGAGGAAAATGCACTTGTGGCAGGCAGATGTAAGGAATTAAAAGGAAAACATTGTGTCAAAAGTGATGGGGACTACAAGGAAAAGGTTCTTGGATCAAGTGGTGGGACACTGAGGAAAATACAATTGTGGCAGGCAGATGTAAGGAAAATTAAAAAAAGGGGGAAGCATTGTGGGACACAAAAGTGGTGGGGACTAGATGTAAGGAAAAAAAAGGTTCTTGGTTCTTGGATCAAATGGTGGGACACTGAGGAAAAATGCAATTGTGGCAGGCAGATGTAAGGAATTAAAAGGGAAAACATTGTGACAAAAGTGGTGGGGACTACAAGAAAAGGTTCTTGGATCAAGTGGTGGGACACTGAGGAAAATGCTCTTGTGGCAGGCAGATGTAAGGAATTAAAAGGGAAAGAATTGTGTCATATATGATGGGGACTACAAGGAAATGGTTCTTGGATCAAGTGGTGGGACACTGAGGAAAATGCTCTTGTGGCAGGCAGATGTAAAAGGAATTAAAAATTGGAAAGAATTGTGTCATATAAGTGATGGGGACTACAAGGAAATGGTTCTTGGATCAAGTGGTGGGACACTGAGGAAAATGCAATTGTGGCAGGCAGATGTAAGGAATTAAAAGGGAAAGAATTGTGTCAAATATGATGGGGACTACAAGGAAATGGTTCTTGGATCAAGTGGTGGGACACTGAGGAAAATGCTTGTGGCAGGCAGATGTAAACAAATTAAAAGGGAAAGAATTGTGTCACATATGATGGGGACTACAAGGAAATGGTTCTTGGATCAAGTGGTGGGACACTGAGGAAAAATGCAAATGTGGCAGGCAGATGTAAGGAATTAAAAGGGGAAGCATTGTGTCAAAAGTGATGGGGACTACAAGGAAATGGTTCAAGTGGTGGGACACTGAGGAAAATGCACTTGTGACAGGCAGATGTAAGGAATAAAAAGGGAAAGAATTGTGTCACATATAATGGAGACTACAAGGAAATGGTTCTTGGATCAAGTGGTGGGACACTGAGGAAAATGCTCTTGTGGCAGGCAGATGTAAGGAATGAAAAAGGGAAGAAATTGTGTCATAAGTGATGGGGGACTACAAGGAAAAGGTTCTTGGATCAAGTGGTGGGACACTGAGGAAAATGCTCTTGTGGCAGGCAGATGTAAGGAATTAAAAGGGAAAGAATTGTGTCATATATGATGGGGACTACAAGGAAATGGTTCTTGGATCAAGTGGTGGGACACTGAGGAAAATGCACTTGTGGCAGGCAGATGTAAGGAAAAAAAAATGGGAAAGAATTGTGATAAAAGTGGTGGGGACTACAAGGAAAAAGGAGCTTGGATCAAGTGGTGGGACACTGAGGAAAGTGCACTTGTGACAGGCAGATGTAAGGAAATTAAAAGGTAGGGACTACAAGGAAAAGGTGCTTGGATCAAGTGGTGGGAAAGAATTGTGTCATATATGATGGGGACTACAAGGAAATGGTTCTTGGATCAAGTGGTGGGACACTGAGGAAAATGCTCTTGTGGCAGGCAGATGTAAGGAATTAAAAAGGGAAAGAATTGTGTCATATATGATGGGGACTACAAGGAAATGGTTCTTGGATCAAGTGGTGGGACACTGAGGAAAATGCTCTTGTGGCAGGCAGATGTAAGGAATTAAAAGGGAAAGAATTGTGTCATATATGATGGGGACTACAAGGAAATGGTTCTTGGATCAAGTGGTGGGACACTGAGGAAAATGCTCTTGTGGCAGGCAGATGTAAGGAATTAAAAGGGAAAGAATTGTGTCATATATGATGGGGACTACAAGGAAATGGTTCTTGGATCAAGTGGTGGGACACTGAGGAAAGTGCGCTTGTGACAGGCAGATGTAAGGAATTAAAAGGGAAAGAATTGTGTCATATATGATGGGGACTACAAGGAAATGGTTCTTGGATCAAGTGGTGGGACACTGAGGAAAATGCTCTTGTGGCAGGCAGATGTAAGGAATTAAAAGGGAAAGAATTGTGTCATATATGATGGGGACTACAAGGAAATGGTTCTTGGATCAAGTGGTGGGACACTGAGGAAAATGCAATTGTGACAGGCAGATGTAAAGAATTAAAAGGGAAGAATTGTGTCAAATATGATGGGGACTACAAGGAAATGGTTCTTGGATCAAGTGGTGGGACACTGAGGAAAATGCACTTGTGGCAGGCAGATGTAAGGAAATAAAAAAGGGAGAATTGTGTCATAATACTAAGGAAATGGTGGGACACTACAAGGAAAAAAGTTCTGGATCAAGTGGTGGGACACTGAGGAAAGTTGCACTTGATGGGGACAGGCAGATGTAAGGAATTCATTGTGTCATATAAGGGGGACTACTAAAGGAAATGGTTCTTGGATCAAGTGGTGGGACACTGAGGAAAATGCTCTTGTGGCAGGCAGATGTAAGGAATTAAAAAGGAAAAGAATTGTGTCATATATGATGGGGACTACAAGGAAAAGGTTCTTGGATCAAGTGGTGGGACACTGAGGAAAATGCAATTGTGGCAGGCAGATGTAAGGAATTAAAAGGAAAGAATTGTGTCATAAGTGATGGGGACTACAAGGAAAAGGTTCTTGGATCAAGTGGTGGGACACTGAGGAAAATGCTGTGGCAGGCAGATGTAAGGAATTAAAAGGGGAAAAAAGGCAGATGTAAAAAAGGTTCTTGGATCAAGGAACTGAAAAGGGCAGGCAAGGAATTGTGTCAAATTGTGATGGGGGGACTACAAGGAAAAAGGTTCTTGGATCAAGTGGTGGGACACTGAGGAAAGTGCACTTGTGGCAGGCAGATGTAAGGAATGAAAAGGGAAAGAATTGTGTCATATATGATGGGGACTACAAGGAAATGGTTCTTGGATCAAGTGGTGGGACACTGAGGAAAATGCTCTTGTGGCAGGCAGATGTAAGGAATAAAAAGGGAAAGAATTGTGTCATATATAATGGGGACTACAAGGAAATGGTTCTTGGATCAAGTGGTGGGACACTGAGGAAAATGCACTTGTGGCAGGCAGATGTAAGGAATTAAAAGGGAAAATTGTGTCATATATGATGGGGACTACAAGGAAAAGGTTCTTGGATCAAGTGGTGGGACACTGAGGAAAATGCAATTGACAGGCAGATGTAAGGAATTAAAAGGGAAAACATTGTGTCATATATGATGGGGACTACAAGGAAAAGGTTCTTGGATCAAGTGGTGGGACACTGAGGAAAATTGCATTGTGGCAGGCAGATGTAAGGAATTAAAAGGGAAAAGCATTGTGACAAATGTTGGGGACTACAAGAAAAGGGTAGTTTGGATCAAGTGGTGGGACACTGAGGAAAGTGCACTTGTGACAGGCAGATGTAAGGAATAAAAAGGGAAAGAATTGTGTCACATATAATGGGGACTACAAGGAAATGGTTCTTGGATCAAGTGGTGGGACACTGAGGAAAATGCTCTTGTGGCAGGCAGATGTAAGGAATTAAAAGGGAAAGAATTGTGTCATATATGATGGGGACTACAAGGAAATGGTTCTTGGATCAAGTGGTGGGACACTGAGGAAAGTGCGCTTGTGACAGGCAGATGTAAGGAATTAAAAGGAAAGAATTGTGTCATATGATGGGGGACTACAAGGAAATGGTTCTTGGATCAAGTGGTGGGACACTGAGAAAGTGCACTTGTGACAGGCAGATTTAAGGAATTAAATGGGAAAGAATTGTGTCATATGATGGGGACTACAAGGAAATGGTTCTTGGATCAAGTGGTGGGACACTGAGGAAAGTGATCGCTTGTGATAGGCAGATGTAAGGAATTAAAAGGAAAGAAAATTTTGTTCATATTTGATGGGGACTACAAGGAAATGGTTCTTGGATCAAGTGGTGGGACACTGAGGAAAATGCCTTTGACTGGCAGATGTAAGGAATTAAAAGGAAAGAATTGTGTCATATATGGGGACTGGGGAAATGG